TTTAAGTCTAGTAAGATGAGTGTACGAATTTTTCTTCCCTCTCGCCTGCGCATAAACTGGGGAACGCCGTAACGGAGCCACGTGATGGAAGGCGGAGCGTTCCTCAGTAATTAAGCTCAGCCTACAACGACGCAGACTGAAGCACCTCCCCACTCTCTGGATGATCCTCGCAGCTCGAAGAGAAATGGCATGTCAGGTAAGAACCAACGCCCAATTTCCATCATCATAGAACTTGCTACTAGTATTTTACTAGTATATTTGATTGCTAGTATATTGATACCATCACAGGTGAAATTTTAATTTATGCAATAGACCCTTTCCCTACCTTTTTTTCCCACCATATTCACCGAAATGTTTCCCTCATTTTATATCCATTCTCTTTGATGATTTCAAATAATATATCTTTACAATCTAGTAAAAATTTTATGGAAAGAACATTATAACTTACTTATGTAGCCTTTCTCTCGCAACACTGGCCTTCAGAAATGCATGAAGTCTATGGTGAGCTTGTGATCTTCCACTATACTTGTACCCAGAGATTTTTGCAATAGGTGGAATTTTGGACTCCTCTTTTACGAAGTCATGATCATATAAATCTCAGCATCCTAATTTGTAGCGTAGCAGTAATGGGAACTGCCCGTGTGCCTGCAGGATGTCTTTTTAAAAATTCCAAGTAATTCACATTATCCATCTTAATTAAGGCTGCTTCACAACACCTTTTTTCTTACATGTATGGAAAAAGAATAACAGTTAAACTAATGCTGCTGAATACATGAAGCAACATGTCAGGTTGTATCAAAGTTCAATAAAGCGACAGCCAATCAAAGAAAAATACCTGTTGTAAATTGAGATACCTGGCTTAAAATCATAATGAAACCTGCTAAACCTAAGAATGCTTATTTCAGAGTACAAATCATTCAAAACATTGAGGCTGCAAACTCTTCCAGAGTCTTTGACAGGGCTGCTTCATAGATTTTTTCCCAATGTAAAGTGGCTATGAATGCACACACATGCAATGACAAAGTATTAAAATCCTTGAGGTACTTGGACTGAGCACTGCATAGGAAGCAGTTGACTCAATGCTTCAAGAAGGTGCTTCACAAGTGCCTTTTCAAATGCTTTGCACAGTGCGATTCATGCATCGGAACAGGCATATGCAATCATTTAGGCATACAATAAACAGTTCAGTATAAGTATAAATGTGGCCTTTCTCTCAATTCTGGAACTGCTAGCCTACACCCTGTTTAAGTAAAAATAAGAATGTATGAGTCACACATCCTCGTCTTATTTATACATAGATGGCAAAGAAAAGAGTATTTTCTATTTACAAGGGTAAAGAAAATCTCAACATAGGTAAGAATGCTTTTATGTCCTAGTTGGACAACAATCTGTCTGTGTACACACACACACACACACACACACACACACACACACGGTACTTGCAGCAAAATAAGAATAAATAGAATAGGGTAGGAGTGGGATTCAAATTTCTTAACCGGTTCTGTGGGTGTGGCCTAATTTGTGGGTGTGGCTTGGTGGTCATGTGATGGGTAGGCATGGCCATGTTGTCATGTGACTGGCAAACCGAATGTAAGTGGTCCTTGCTTAATCACCAGGTCCTCGCTTAATGGCCAGTTGCTTTGCAAGTGTTCTAATTTATGACTGACTTCCACAGAGCTACTTGGCCTGTTTTTGGTGTTTTGACAGCCATACACACACACACACACACACACACACACTTGTGACCAGTTACAACATCCCACACAGTCTTATGACTGAGGTTTTCTGTTTTTTTGCCAGTTTCCAACAATTCATTCTGGTTTCTGGTTAAAAATGCCCATTGGGGAAAATGGCCTTTTTAACAACCAGTGTTCGCTTAATGTCCACAAGGTTCACTTAATAACCATGGTGTTTGCCTAACCCAGGGGTCTGCAACCTTAAACACTCAAAGAGCCATTTTTCTATTTTCTTTTAAACAGGTATCTCTGTCTCTGTCTTTCTCCCTCTTTCTCATCTCTTTCTCTGTCATCTCTTTCTCCCTCTCTGTTTCTCATTTCTCTTTCTCTCTCTCTCATCTACAACTGCTAAGCTGTTTTTTTATAATCCTATTTCTTCACAGTTTTTTTCACACATATTTGTGTATATGTATCCAATATTCTTTCTTCCTTTCCACTATGTATTCAAAATGGGCAATGATTTTGTGTGTGTGTGTGTGTGTGTGTGTAGCATGTGTATATGCCATGTCAAGGGATGCTTCGCCTGGCCCCTCCCCTTGCAGCCATTTCTTGTCACACCCAGCCTCAACTAATCTATGGTTCTATAAAAATGTTGTTCAACTTTTTTTGACTTTATTATCTACATACTATAGATGTACTTTCATGGACCACTACTCAGAGTTTGGCATCCTCAGTTTTCCTGCCTGAGCAGGGGCTTGGACTAGAAGACCTCCCTTTCAACTCTGTTAAACACACCTGTATTTATGCTCTGGACTATAGACATGTAAACCCTGAAAAATACCTGGGCAAAAGAAAGGCATTAGAATCACTCTAGGTGTAGGGACAGTGTAAAATATTAATATATGATAAGGGAACAATTAAAAATAAACAACAATTAAAAAAATAACAGTGTAAAATATTAATATAATAATAAGGGAACAATTAAAAATAAACAACAATTAAAAAAATAACAGTTTTCTTCCCCCCCCCCCTTTCCTTCCTATTCTTTCTTTCTTTCTTTCTTTCTTTCTTTCTTTCTTTCTTTCTTTC